TTGGCACCTTGAGTGTGGCTCTTCCACAAAATACCGGCTCTTCCAGAAAATACCGACTTCTGTGCATGGGCCACGAAGTTTCAACCGCACTGTACATGCGCACCCGCACGTGGGATTTTGTGGAAGAGCCACACTCAAGGGGCCAAAGAGCTGCATGTGGCTCGCGAGCCGCGGTTTGCCGACCATGGGTCTAGGCCAGCCACAGCAGCCCATCTGACTTCCTTCCTGTAGTCTTCACTCCTCACGCGCCCAGTAGTTCCTTTGTAAAACTGTAATCTGGGAAATTGCTTGTTCTGTCTCAAAATGTTCATTGCCTCCCTATTTTTAAAAATAACTTTATTGAGAGAATTTATGTTCAACAAAATTCACTCATTTGAACAATTCATTGGTTTTTAGTAAATTTTCAGGTATATACATTCTTCACCACAGTTGAGTTCAGAACATTTTAATCATCTCAAAAGGAATCTTTTCATACTTTAGTTATCCTTCCCCTGCCCTCTCACCCTCACCTCTAGCCCTAAGTAAACCAGGCATCCACTTTCCGTCTTCGTAGGGTTTCCTCTTCTGGAAATTTTATATGGATGTGATCATATAGGATGTATTTTTTATGATTAGCTTTCTTTTGGCTTAGCAGAAGGTTATCAAGGGTCAGTCATATTGAAAGCATGTATCACTATTTCATTTCTCTTTTGCTGATCAACATCCCATTGTGTGGATATACCAGATTTTGTTTATCCATTTTTCATTTGATGGATAAACTTGGACAGTGTGCACATTTGGTGATCATAAAGTTCTTGTGTGGACACACATCCTTTTCTCTGAGGTATATCCCTGTGCATGGGACTCCCCGCAGCCTGCAGAATAAAGCACCTGCTTTTTGCATGCGATTTGACACCCTTATGATCTAGACTTGACAATGAGCGTGTGAAATGTAAGCTCCGTGGCTGTTGGTGTGTCCCAGGTCTTGGCCCAGTGCCTGGTAATTAGTAGTTGCTGAGTAATGACACATGGAATAAATGAGTGCGTATAAGAACCTCAAGCTCCTTCTCCCAATGTGTGCATCACTGTTAGATCTGCCCTGAGGTCCCTGTGATCCAGTATCTTCTCACTTCTCTCCTTCCTGGGACAACTCCGTATCCTAACATATTTTTTTTCTAAGATATATTTTATTGATTTTTTGCAGAGAGGAAGGGGGAGGAATAGAGAGTTAGAAACATCAATGAGAGAGAAACATCAATCAGCTGCCTCTTGCACACCCCCTACTGGGGATGTGCCCGCAACCAAGGTACATGCCCTTGACTGGAATCGAACCTGGGCCCCTTCAGTCCGCAGGCCGACGCTCTATCCACTGAGTCAAACTGGTTAGGGTCCTGTGCTAACATTTTTATGCCCTCTGCCTAGAATCTACTTCCCCTCGGACCTGGAAAGCTTTCCTCCTTGTCCCCAGATGGGGTTAGCGTCTGTCACTTAGGCTCCCATACCATGTTGAGAATAATTCTGTATCAATACACAGCCAACGAATTATCATCGATCTTTTGCCAGCCACGGCGCCCCTGCGACCAGACATTCCTTGAGAGCAGTACCATGACTCATGCACATTTGCGTTACTGGGACTTGCACAGGGCCCGGTACTTGCCAAGTGCCCAGTAGAGATGGTTGCACGAATGAATGATCGTGTCCTCGCTTCCTGTACCCTCTCCGCCTCGTCTCTTCTGTGCACCATATTTGAATTTTAAAGAAAGCAATATTGACTTGTTTTTCCTTTCAGCCTAACATTCTTCTTCCTGTTGTCACTGGAGCTTTGGTTGTGCCATCTGTTGTAACGATATAAAACACGGAGAACTCTGCCAACTCTGCGTAATCCTCCAGCCCCTCCTCCGCGTCCCAGTGCCCACACCCCAGGACGGTAGACCTGAGTCAGACAGCGGGTCATGCCAGTGTTTCCGCTGGCTTTCTCTTGTGAAATGGCAGTTACGCTAAGGAACTTTCACACACACATAACGCACATCCAGATTGCCTGCACTTCCTGGGGGTAGCAAATGCGACTGTATTTAAAGTGTGCATGGCGCTCCGTACAACGAAGTGCTATTATTTAAGCAGATGGATGGTCCCTTAGATGGAAGAAACAAAAGCTGTTGGGATATAGTTTGATTTTTGTATGATTTTTTCTTTTCTTTTTTTTGCCTGTGGCCAAATGATGTGTATCTTAGAGAATGAGTTTATGTTCCATTATTAAACCCAATGGTGTGAAATAGAAAGACTAACATGAAATACCTTTAAAAAATGTCAGGAGAAGTGATGGTAATCCCCATAGGTTAATTATCTTTTTAACTATTAGGATTAAACATGTATTTTGCATTTTTCTCATCATAGTCATTTAAGTACTTTCACAAGCTGGCTCTTGGAATGTGGTTTACAATAGGAAACGTTTAATTTTGGAAATATACATTTAATTTTGGAAATATATCTTATATACATTCACATTTTTCAAGCCTCATTCTTAACAGGGCTACTTTTAAAACTATATCTATATATCTATATCTATATATTTATTGATTTCACAAAGTAAGGGAGAGAGAGAAACATCAATGATGAGAGATAATCATTGATCAGGTGCCTCCTGCACGCCCCACATGGGACAGAGCCCGCCACCTGAGCTTGTGACCTGACCGGGAATCAAACTGACCTCCTGGTTCATAAGTCGACACTCAGCCACGTGTGTCCTGGCCGGGCAACAGGACTACTTTTATGATATAAAAGAATAAATTCAAATATATTCAGTTGACAGAAGAGTAATGTGGAAGGGAAAAGAAAAAGAATCTGGTGGAATTAATTAGCCCTGACGAGTGACAGTTATCTTGTTCCTAACCGTGTGTTTGGGGTGATGTCAGTTTCCTAGAAAACTCACATATAAAATCGCAACCGTGCTTCCGATCTGAACCAACCTCTTAATTTTCATATTCTGCTTTGTGGAGCATTGCTAACAACGTTAGTTATTGTTGGAGGAGGAAACTACCAGTTACTGCTTGTGGCACACCCTGTCTTCTCTTTGAGTAAATCTACTACTACTTTTATAAAGTGCATTTTTCTCCACCATCTTTGGACAAATGGTGGCCCCTCTGCTTCCCCAGCTCTGAGTCAGCCCCGGCCTCAGGAGGCAAACTCCTGGTCAGTGCAGGAGAGAGACCAGGAGAAAGCCGGGGGGTGTGCAGGTAAGACACCGTATCTAGAGGATTCTAAAGCTCATGCACTCTGCTTCCCTCAAGATTTGGCTTTGCAGAACAAGGCAGCCATATCATGAAATGAAATATTCATCAGAAAGATGATTTTTTTTAACGTCTTAGTCCTGAATTCTGGGTCAAGCGATAACCCCTCTGAATCTGCAAATTATCTTCCTGAGGGAGGAGCCCACACTCAGCTGGCAGAACTGTTCACGGAGTAAATGCAGTGACACCTCTGGCCTCCCAGCTTTGCCTGCTCCGCCATCGGTGCTCAGTGAACGTTCTCCCCGTGGCTCCCAGTGAGGTGAATTCCACGTCTCTAGGGCACCTTTGTCATCCTGTGAAGATGTGATTGGGTGTGCACTCGTTTTTAGAAAATCATAAAAACACAGATGTCTGTGAAACAGGTCTTTGTGGCATTTATAAATATTCTGTCTAATTTGGGGGTCCTCGATGTTGAGTTTTTTTCTTCACATAAATGACACTCTGTACCTATGTGTTGCTGAGTGCAATGCGGGTGCTCAATAAATACGTTAAAAAGCCAAATGTGTGTGAACAGGTTTGCAGACAGCAATTAAAACAGAACCACCTACATAACCAAGATCAGGAAAATAGTCTGGGAAACCATGTTACATAAAATGTGCATCCACTAATATTTACTTGTGAAGTGCATCTAGGAAGATGAAATGTATATGAAATAGTGTTAAGAGAATGAAGCAGTCTATAACAATTGCATATTTTATGTATGCACATTATGGCATAGTATAATTACATAAGTAAGAAATGTAGTATAATTATAGAGGTAAGAAATGCAGATGGACCAGAAGAGGAAATATAAAAATTTAAACAAAAACTGCCATAATTTGATGGAATTAAAGGATGCCTTCGTCAAAGTTCTCTTTATTATGGCTACATAGTTTCAATTAAAAAACGCATTGTTGATGGGACACTATTTTCAGAAAACCAGTTTTGCTTTTTAAAATGCTTTGCATATGATCTTCAATTTTAATTTAAAAAATGGTGACTAATTTCATTCAAAATTAGCCCTCAGCGTAACTACCCACCAGCATGATCTGATCCTAGCACCTGGATCTGGTCACGCCTTCACTTAGCTTCTCCTTACTCAGCACGTGACTGGATGTTGGCTTCTCTGCCCAGGTAACAGTGTCAGCAGATCAGTGCATTGTTCTCATGGGGCGTATGTTCCAGAGGGAGACAGATCAAAAATGAATACAAAATGCATAATGTCAATTCTGAGAGTGGTCTGTGCGATGAAGATAGATCAGGGCACAGGGCGTGGAGCTGAAGAGTAAACTTCAGTTAAGACCTGGGAAACTTCTGTGTGTGTAAAAACATGAAAGGAGGATGGACCTTACTTTTTAAAAAAAATAAATGTTTATTGATTTCAGAGAGGATGGGTGAGGGAGAGAGAGATAGAAACATCAATGATGAGAGAGGGTCATTGATTGGCTGCCTCCTGCACCCCCCACACTGGGGTTGAGCCCTCAACCCTGGCATATGCCCTGATGGGGAATCAAACCGTGACCTCCTGGTTCATAGGTCAACACTCAACCTCTGAGCCACATCAGCTGGGATGGAGCCTCCTTTTCAGTACAGCCTCTCTGTCTGTAGTAGGTTGGGTAATTTTGAATTATTTAGTTTTAGTCGAACCCTGCAATTATGTGTCAAAATACCATCCCGCCCTGCCCCGGGGCCAGGCTGACTGAAAGTCAGGTTCTGGAGCGTTAACTGACCAATCCTTGTGTTGTTGTCTTCCAGTTTTCAGTGAGGACCTCCACTCCAGCCTCTACTTTGTCAATGCATCTGTGCAAGAGGTAGTGTTCGCGAGCACCACGGGGACCCTGGTGCCCTGCCCGGCTGCAGGCATCCCTCCTGTGTCTCTCAGATGGTACCTGGCGACAGGCGAGGAGATCTACGATGTCCCCGGGATCCGCCACGTCCACCCCAACGGCACTCTCCAAATTTTCCCCTTCCCTCCTTCGAGCTTTAGTACCTTAATCCATGACAATACTTACTATTGCACAGCTGAGAATCCTTCAGGGAAAATTAGAAGTCAGGATGTCCACATCAAGGCTGGTGAGTAGAGTGGATTCCTTCTTGCCTGCGGGGTTGGGGGCGGGTGGCAAACATTCCCAGCCATCAGCTGGGAGTCGGCGAACACCCTGTCACCAGTCCCTCCTCTGAGCGTGTCTCTCGACTGGATTTCCAGGTGCCTGACATTGTTGGGGAAAAACGTGGAAATGGTTGGTTCTCATCCTCAGTGAAACAAATATGCAGATGCTTGTCAATACTCCCCTTTCGCCTTTTTCTTGCTGAGGTGTTTTTATTTTCATTCCACATTTTTTACCGCATTTGAACAACATGCAAAAAAAAAAGCTCCGTGCATTTGTAAACTCTTAAGACTCTGTCCTTGTAAATCCTTGAACACTGGGAAGCTGGGGGAATCCAGCCTGTCTCTGTGAAGGCCAAGTTCTTCAGCGGAAGAGCCGAGGGGAAGATGAAGGGTGTTGGTGGGGCCTGCGATCTGGTAGCTTTGCATATGATCTTCAATTTGGAGGGAAGTTCATTAAAATGTCCAAGTACAAAATAAGAAAGTTTACAATGCAATGCTTGGGTCAATTTGAATGTATTCACTCAGCAAATATTTCCTTGCGCTTCTGTTATGGTTCCGGCACTTTGCCAGGTGCACGGAGTAGATGTGAGAAAAGAAATGGTACCTACTCTCATGGAACTCTCGTCCTAATGGGGGAGTCAGACATGGACAAAGAAAGAACGCTGGGTCAACACTGACAATGGAAAGGGCCTCTGTTCCAGGCACTGTGATATTTGCTGGGGATTTTGTGAAAAACTCAGGAGAGAAAACAAACATACCATGAGCTGAGAACCAGCGAACGCTCAATTGGAGACTGCTGGTGCCTTCTTTCAGATGCCAGAGCCTCTCTTGCCGGGTTTCAGAGTGTCTTACATGCTGGAAGCAAAAGCTGGACTCAGTGACATTAAGTTGGTAAGGTCTAAACCAGTGATGGCGAACCTATGACTCGTGTGTCAGAGGTGACACGCGAACTCATTTTTTTGGTTTATTTTTCTTTGTTAAATGGCATTTAAATATATAAAATAAATATCAAAAATATAAGTCTTTGTTTTACTATGGTTGAAAATATCAAAAAATTTCTATAGGTGACACGGCACCAGAGTTAAGTTAGGGTTTTTCAAAAGGCTGACACGCCGAGCTCAAAAGGTTCGCCATCACTGGTCTAAACCATACCCCAAATTTATTGCATTTTGACTAATGGATATTCTGACTCGCAGTTCCAGTGCCTCCAACCCAGTGTGCTTGCTTTCGGTCCCCCTCTTTGCCCCTTTCCTCCCCACACTCTTCCCAGAGGTGGGCAGTGGAGGGAGCAGGCAGGAGGCAGAGGAGAGAAGGCCCGGGACGGAGCTGGAATAAAACCACTGCAGTGGTGTGTACTGTGAGTGAAGCAGACTCCGTCTCACAGTCTTGCATTTAATGTGAAATAAAAAAGGCGCTGTTAACGTTTTTTACTGTGTCATGTGTTACTGGAATGTTGTCAATGGATAAACATTGGTTTATTGAATTGGTTTGTTCCTTTTAACATCATAATGTGTGTTTTTCTAAAATTGCCATCGCTGCAAGTCAACTCAGGAATATGGCCTCTGATTCGCAGACTTTAAAAGTTATCCAGCCAGGACACAGTGTGTCATTCTAACGATTTAACAAAACCCTGAAAAACAAACGCACAGCTAGACTCCAGTTAGCAAACAGCGTTTTAATGTGTTTTTTTTTAAGCCTAGCCTTTTAAATACTGGGAGATGACTCAATATAATGGCAGGGCAAAGCGAACGTGACTTTGACTGTTGTCTTCTGCCCGGGGAGCGGGACAGCGGCTTGGGCATCCGCTGTGGCAGGCGAGGAGGCCTTGCCTGAAGACATCACAGCATGAGCCGCTTCCCAGTCCCGCGCGTGGTCTCCTGGACATGAGCCCTGGCGTCAGACTGCCACCGTCCCACCAGCCGTCATTTCCCAGCTGCGTTTTCATTTCCAGGACAAGCTCCTGAACGCCAAGACTTGCACAGAAATGCACTTAAGAAAGGAAGAAGATGGGCTTTCACCAAGAGAGGTGAAAAACTGATGTCCCGAATAAATAAAACAAGCACGTGAAATTCGCGTAGGGACCTCCAAATCAGGCGGCAGGGGACTTGAGTAATGCCTTCTACCTGGAAGGCTGAAAAAAACTCAGTGTGTCATAAAAAAACATATTCATAGGCTACAAAGACAAACTCCCAGAAAAACCTGGAACTTCAAACAGCTGTGCTTGTATGTGTGAATCTGCTATTTCTGCCTCAAGTTTCCGGTCAGATAAAGGAACTACATGCTTACTGCGGCTTTAACTGCTGTTTTCTGGGTTTGTTGTAGAACTGGTTGCTTCTGCAGGGCAGAGGGAACGGGGAGGGGTGGGGATGCCATCGCCTGGCCTGGCACCTGTGCCACCTTCCACGTAGTTACGCAGTTGCTGTCCACGTGCTGGTTTTCCTGACGCCAGGAGCCCAGCACCCACACCTCTGCTGCGTCCGTTCGGACTTACACGACAGACAGTCACATTGCCCCAAAGAAATGTCTCTTCTCCTTTAATTTACTTCTTATGAGCACATCCTGGTTGTGATAATTTTTAGATTGCTTAGTGGATGCCTGAAAGGCTGGTTCCCCATTTTTGCGTTGATGCTGGTGCAGAGCTGGGCAGCTGGGCAGGAGGGCAGTGGGGGGCTGTGTGATGCCCAGTGCCGACTGTCCTGCAGGCTTGTGTAGAATGAGCACTCACTCCTGGGCATCCCCCAGTGCAGCAGGCCATCTAAAGCTCCCTTGACATTGGCACAGGGGTTTCCCTGGAAGAACCCATTGGGTAAAATGGCCTATACCCTCTCCCGTGGCGGTACAGAACATTCGTATTCTTACTAGTTAATAGCGAGTTGACCCAGGTCTGAGTGCCAAGGGACGAGGAAAAGGTCACCCATGCTGCCTCATTAAGCAGCAATCTTAGTTTTCCTGTAAATAAAACACGTTCTGGCCTCTTTGTCCTAGGGACTGGAACGAGTAGGCCACTTGCACTGGTCTGTCCCTTGCCTGTGCTGTGCTCACTGCTTAGCGAGGTCATCTGCTGTGTGACCAGGGGCAAGTCCAACCCTCGCCATGCCTTTTCCTTAGTGAGCTGTGGTGAAGGGCATTTGACTGGACTTCTGGTTACGGCCAAGATGGAGAAGCAAGGGCTGCATCTTCCCTTCTTTCTGCAGCAGCAACCCTCACACACAGACAAAATATACCCAGCGCCAGCTTCCCAGCCTGGCCACCCCAGGGTGCAGGGAAGTGATCCTGGAGAAACTGGAATAAAGCAGCTGAGCCCTATGATTGCCCCAGTTTATCACCTTAAGTTTCCAGATGCAGGACACAAAAACCTGCAGATGAATCTTTTTTTAAAATATATTTTTATTGATTTCAGAGAGGAAGGGAGAGGGAGAGAGAGAGAGAGAAACATCAGTGAGAGAGAATCATTGATTGGCTGACTTCTGCACGGCCCCTGGGGTTTGAGCCTGCAACCTGGGCATGTGCCCTTGACTGGAATCGAACCTGGGACCCTTCAGGCCACAGGCTGACTCTCCACTGGGCCAAATCGGCTAGGGCTGAATCTTTTTTTTAAAATTCTCATCCACGGACATGTTTATTGAATTTTAGAAAAAGGAAGGGGGAGAGAGAAACATCGATGTGAGAGAGACCATTTTGATTAGTTGCCTCCCATACATACCCTTACCAGGCATCAAACCCACAACCTGACTGGGATCAAACCTGCAACCTTTTAGTGGATGGGGTGATGCTCCAACCAGCTGAGCCACCTGGCCAGGGTACCTGCACATGGATTTTTATAACAGCTTTTTTCATAATTACTAAAAATTGGAAGCAACAAAGATGCCCTTCTGTATGTGAATGGATAATGACGAAGACCCCCTCCTTGAGTAAATTTCTGTCAGGCTCGTCTGAGCCCTCTTCTCAACTAGTTTGACCTTCCGTGTCTATTCTCCCTGAGCCCAGTTTCAGCACGAGTCCTGCGAAGTCATCCCCCACCTCTGATATTTGCTATTTGATCACTGTTAACATCTGATCGAGCTCCTCCTCTCACCTGTGATGTGTAAGTGTTCAGCCCACATTGAACAAGACTCCCTACCCTTGATGTCGCCTCTTAGTAATTTCCACCCACTGACCCCCTTGCTTTGTGGTTGGCTCTCTATGTTCACTTGTTCTTGCTGTATATACAGTTGAGCAAAATTTATCTCCCAGTTGAAATAATCATGACTCCTCTTGCAAAATTCTTAAAGTGTCTTTCTTTACATTTTAACAAGAATATTTCTTAACAATAAACTGGTATATCCATCCAAACAATGGATATTACTCATTGATAGAAATAAACTATCAAGCCGTGAAGAGACATAGAGGAACCTTAAATGCATGTTACTAAGTGAAAGAAGCCAATCTGAGAAGGCCACATACTGTATAAATCCAAAGGTATGACATTCTGGAAAAGGCAAAACTATGGCAAGGTAGAAAGATTAGTGGTCGCCAAGGGTTGTGGGGCAAACAGGACATTTATGGGAGAGTGAAATTATTCCAGATGATGCCTTAGCGATGAATACATGACATTATTCATAGTCCTGTCTAACAGAGTGAACCTTAATGTAAACTATGGATTTCAGCTGATAAGAATGTATAAATATTTATTAATTATAAAAATGTATCACACTAATTGAGAGGCTTATAATGAGAACTGTAGGGGTGGCGAGGGAGAGCGTATGGGAACTCTTTGTACTTTCTGTGAAAGTTTCTGTAAACCTAAAACTGATCGAAAAAAAAAAAAGTTTATTCCAAAAACTTGAAAAATACGCTTACTATACAAATAAGCTTACTATACAAATAGACTCCCCAAAGAAATGGATGATAAAACAAAAAAGAAGTTAAAATACTGGTCAAAATGTTCAAAATTTGAGGAAAACTGTAAATCTACAGATCCCACGGGCCCAGGAAACCTAAGCATAAACTACATGAAGAAAAACACACCAGGGTGCATCAGAAGACATTGCGTGGGACCAATGAGAAAGAGAGGACATTAAAAACAGCCAGAGAAAGGGACCCATCACACATAGGGGGACAAAGGGAAAGATGACGACAGACTCCCTCAGAATCAGTGTGAGAACACGGTGAGGCTGCACCTCTGAAGTCCTGGAAGAAAAGGGTCTGTGAATCCAGAAATCTGCACGCAGGAATCTTGCAAAAATAAAGGTGAAATATAGGCGTTCGGCACACAAAATCTGAAAGACTTGCACTATGAGACATCTTTAGAAAAAATGTCCTGCAATCAGAAGAAATGACACCTGATGGAGGATACTCAAAGAAGAATAATAAAAAAAGTAACTACATGGGTAAATAAACCCCATTTTACATTTAAAATCCTTAAAAAAATAATTGAACAAAATAATAGCAGTGTCTTGTGGGGATTGTAACATATGTACAAATAAAATGAGGATGGTAGCATTAAGGCCTGGAGTAGACAGAGAAGTACAATGTTTTAGGGTTCTCTTATTGTATGGGAAGTAGTATAGCATCACCTGAATATAAATGATGGTGTTACAGATGGATACTACAAAAAGCAACCCCTGAAATAACCATACAGGGAGTTATGGCTAGCAAACCAACAAAGTAGAAACAATGGACTCATTAAAAAGTAACCCAAAACAAAGAAGAAGAGAAAAAAGGAAGCGAAAACAAGGTGGCATTATTTACCTCTGCCCAAGAGGACAGTTCCCTTTTGAAACCATTCCTATGTTTGTTGATATGTTAATTTTTTGAAATTAATTTCATGCTAGTTTTCTTGCCACATATTTTCCAATAAATGACTGAAATTTTAAGAGATCTGGATATCTTAGAAAGTCAAAGATTTATGAAATCCAGACCGTGAAGATCTTCCTGTACCAGCACCTTTGTTTCAAATCGGAGGACAATGAAGCACTCCGGAAGTAAGCCCTTCCCATGTTTACGGAGCTGGCGTGAGGGATAATGTTTGTGAGACCCATGGATGTCTCCTTGCCCTGGACACAGAGGTCTTCCACGGACATGGCGTGGATTTGTGTAGCTGTCCCCGAGCCTGTCCTGAGTGCTTTATCCACAAAATCAGGCCATTACGACCACCCCTTGTGGTAGATGTTTTCATCTAAATCCCTATTATATAGCCGGCAAGAGTGGTAGGGCTCAAATTTGAACCCAGACGCTTCATTCATGGAAGTCGCTTTGAGCACTTTCTGGGATAGTCCTATTGCTGTGGGTTCGGGCAGGCTCCCTCATAGCGTCCTTCCCTCCATGATGGGCAGCAGGATCATTGTTTCCCAAACTGCTTTGCAACTGTCATTAAAATGCCTCTCATGAAGAGTTCTTTGTTGTGTAGTTTGCAAGCATTTCCAGGAGAGGTTGCCTTTCTTGGATTTTAAAATTCTCTTTATAGTCTGAAATGTTTTTCTTGGTCCTCAGAGGACACGGAGAGCCGTTCTCTATCATCATGACTCCACTTAGAAGCTACTTCCCACATGGAGCTGCCTTTGGGGGAGATGAACGCTGTTTAGGTGTACCCTTGCCCTTTCGTATTTGGGGAGCTTATTGGTAATGAATGAAAGTCCTTAAGACGTGAAATGTAGATTATTTAAAATTTCCCCCCATAAATGTCTCTGATGCAGTTCCTATCCATGGGATACAGTGTCTACATCCAGGTGAGACGCTCTCAGAAGGAGGTCGCCTCTGTGTTACCGGTCCCCTTCCTGTCTTGCAGTTTTACGGGAGCCCTATACAGTCCGTGTGGAGGACCAGAAAACCATGAGAGGCAATGTCGCGGTCTTCAAGTGCATTATCCCCTCCTCGGTGGAGGCGTACATCACCGTCGTCTCATGGGAGAAAGACACTGTTTCACTCATCTCAGGTAGGCTCCCGCCTCCAGGCGAGCGCGTCAGGCCACCTTCTCACAGGGTGTGCCACACATCGAGTCGGGCCTCTTCCCAGGCGTTCATCGTAGTCGAGAACTAGTGTCCTAAAGATGATGCTATTTCATGAGTAAATGGTGGCATCAACGTTTCATCTTGGTTTACGTGGCTCGAATCAGATATTCTTCAGTGATTGACTGAATGGGTCAAAATTAGCTACTTACCCGATACGCTATAGCTGGTGTTTTACTTTTATCAGGAAATTGTGTTTTTATTTATGCAGCTGGAAAGAGGGAGGTAGGATTATCCTGTCTGTGAGGGGCCTTGGTGGTACATTGAGGACGAATCTGAAACTGAAAACTAGAAAATGAAGCTCTGATTTTCTGCCGTTTTGACCCTTTCGGAAGTCTTTGAGTGATGAGGTGTCTCTGGCCTCGTTCTTGAAGACTCTAGCTAGCATATCTATTCAGCACTGAAATATGTCTATTTGTATATAAGTAATTTCTTGGCTTATTTTGGTGTCCACCAATGAGACAATGGAAATCTGGCTGCTAAGAAGGAGGGGTACTTCTTCCATGGCAGCTTTTGAGTTGAGTCCTTGCTCCTCACTACTTACCTGGAAAGGCCATGTGGGCACGAGCCTCAGTTTCCTGGTTTGCACATGGTTGGATGATGACTGTTGGCTGCTTTTGGCAAACAGCTGTGTTGGGCACTGAATGTGGTACAATGGGTTATAAACAATTGCTTTCCTTTATGTCATGTATGTGTATGCACGTTCGCGCACATGCGTTTGAATGCAATCCTTGAGTACTGTCAACACTTTGACAATTTACAGAGAGAAGAAATTGGAACTAAACTCTCATGGTGACAAAGCATTTCTGTTTATCAGTTTATTGGCCCACTAGACAATATAGGTTACTATTTAAGAACAATGAAAAAAATCATCAAACCATTAAAAAGTCCAAATCAAAAATTAAATCTTTGGCCTTTAAGGTATATCACAGTAAACTAGGATGTAATGGATGTTTCAGCACTTCCTAATATCATCTTTACAGTGAATTTGAAGTCCCTCGCACGTTTATTGAACAATAAATGTTGATGCATCATCCTATTTGTTAGAGTATGACAGACATACTATGCTTAAGAACTGAAAACTATTGCAATAATCAGGATAGATACTCACCTGTGCACTTCTAGTTGCTAATTTTGATTGTTAATGGTTTTAATTGCTTCTCCTTAGAGGTTGTTTTGGTTTCTTGGAGGCAGATGGAGAGATTATATGTAATAAGTTCATCTGGCTGAGCCCAGAGTCAGATCATGTGGGTTCAGGGAGGGGGAGAGTTTGGGCAATATTTGCAATCTCCCACACTTGGGGGTCGATGCTGATGGAGGCTCCACCATCTGATAAGAGCCATCTAACAACATCAGGGTCTGCCCTGGAGGGGCAAGGGAGCAGGGAGAATGCAAACTGCCTCTACCTGCTTCCCCATCAGTGGTTCTCAACCTTCTGGCCCTTTAAATACAGCTCCTCATGTTGTGACCCAACCATAAAATTATTTTCATTGCTACTTCATAACTGTAATGTTGCTACTGTTATGAATCGTCATGTAAATATCTGATATGCAGGATGGTCTTAGGCGACCCCTATGAAAGGGTCGTTCGACCGCCAAAGGGGTCGCGACCCACACGTTGAGAACCGCTGTTCTACATGGAGGTGACACACATCATTTCTATTCGTATTTAAGTGGGCGAAGCAAGTCCCATGGTCATTCCTGACTTCAGTGGGACATGTTCCTGGAAGGAGCGAATACCTGGAAATCTGGGTGAGAAATCAAAGTATTCACCATGAGGTTTTACATACCTAGATAGCTATCTACGGATAGATCTTTTATAGGTTTTGTGTCGGTTTTATAATATAATGTGTGTGTTCATATGTTTCCCAAACACCTGGAGTTAGTGCTGCACACGTATGCAGGTTCTGTCCTTTTGCAATCTATGTGAATACACTCTTTTTTCTTTAAACACAAACCTAATTAAATGAAATGTAAGGCGTTTTATACCAAGTGAATGGAGAGGATGCTGATAGGCAGATACAGAGGTGACACGTGCTGATAGGGACAGGCGACTCCCAGGTCCACTCCTCGGTCAGGCACAGGAGCTTCATCCATGGGCAACATTTAAAAAATAACATGTATCATGGATAAGCACCTGACTTTTCTTCTTTCACAAAAGTATCCAGAAAACAGATCTAGTACCTGCTTTTATCCCATTCGGAATACATTAATAGCAAGTTTTTGTTTGTTTATAAGTAAACCATTTAATCAAACACAGGGTATTGTCAAGAGTCTCCACATGGCAGAGATAGACGGATAGGTAGATAGATTGCTGATAGATAATGGGCAGATAGATAGATAGAGACATTGAGACAGAGGGAGATTGAGACAGAGAGTGAGAATGTAAACTATTTTCATACTCAGGTAGTTAAGACTGAGAACAGGGCCCCAAAACAGTATAATGAGCCACACACGGGAAGCCTGGAAATGCAGCCTCTACTGTGACTGGCGATGGCTACTGTCAGCCCTGGTTCCGAGTGCCTGAGCCCCGCACGGTGAGCCTGCCAAACGCCCAGGGAAGGAGGTCGTGAAGGCATGGAGATTGCAAACGGTAAAAACCACTGGTGATCACAGTAAATAAAGCAGTTTGGGCTGGTTTAGGTGGGGCAGGATACTTTTCTCTCTGTGGCCAGGACCCTGAGTGTGACAGGGAGGCAGGGAGGCCCAGAGGACAAGCCTGGCTGGGACCTCCCTCCTCTGGGCCCCAAGGGCTGAGTGGTTGGGGAGGCACTGGTATTCATTTTATTTTGTTTTGGGAGGACTTGCACTCTCCAATTTCAGAGTTTATGGTAAAGTGACAGTAATCAAGACCACATGATATTGGTGCAGAGCTAAGCCTGCTGATCAGTGGAACAGAGGGGGAAGTCTAGAAGGAAATAATCACACCCATGGTCAATTGACTTTCTTACTAGCATATAATTTGCATACAGTGTTATATTCATTCCAGGTGCACAACCAAGTGATTCAACATTTATATACCTTACGATGTGATCATGATAAGTCTAGTAACCACCTGTCACTGTACATATTTATTACAATACTATTGGCAATATTCCCTGTGCTGTATATTACATCCCCATGACTTATTTATTTTATAATTAGAAGTTTGTATATCTCAATTCCCTTCACCATTTTTTTCCTTCCCACCGCTGCCCTTCACTTTGACAAGCATTGATTTGTTCTCTATCTGTATGAGTCTCTGTGCAGGTTTTTAATACAGGTTATATATATATATATAAACAGTATATATATATATACTGTTATGGGTGTGTTCGTATGTTTCTTAGACACCTTTAATTAGTGCTATACTCAGATGAAAGCGTAAGATTTTTGTCTTTGTCTGACTTATTTCACTTAGCACAATACCCTCTAAGTCAGTGGTTCTCATCTATGGGTCGCGACCCCTTTGGGGATCGAATGACCCTTTCACAGGGGTCGCCGAAGACCATCGGAAAACACATATATAATTACATATTGTTTTTGTGATTAATCACTATGCTTTCATTATGTTCAATTTATAGCAATGAAAGTACATCCTGCATATCAGATATTTACATTACGATTTATAACAGGAGCAGAATTACAGTTATGAAGTAGCAAGGAAAATAATTTTATGGTTGGGGGTCACCACAACCTGAGGGAACTGTATTAAAGGGTCACGGCATTAGGAAGGTTGGGAACCGCTGCTCTGAGTCCATCCATGTTGCAGAGGGCAAGATTTCATTCATTTTTATGGCTGAGTAATACTCCATTGTGTATATGCACCATGTCCTTGTTCATTTGTCTATTGATGGACACTTAGGTTGCTTCCATATCTTGGCTATTGTAAAGAATGCTGCAGTGAACATGGTGATGCACATGTCTGTTTGAATTAGTGGTGTTGTTTTCTTTGTATAAATTCCCAAAGTGGAATTGCTGGGTCTGACTGTAGGGGGTGACCTCGAACAGCACAGAGGTCCCAGAAACCAAGGGACTTTTTCTGAGTTAGCTGTGAGCTCCAGGAGAGACATCCCTGTGCACAGCAGATGGTCGGGAAAAGGTTAAGGTGTGTCTTAACCTTAACCTTGATGAGTCCAGTAACTCCTTGTTGAAGTAACTTAGATTTAGTCATTGGCAGTGGCTGTCATTCCACCTCTCTTCCTGGGATTCCAAGATATCCCAGCCTCCCCTGAGTCAGGCTGGGACAATTCCATTAGTTCTTTAGAAAGTGATGGGTTAAATGAGCCATGGACACCAGTCTGTGTAAGTATTCTACAGCAGTAAGTGGAGAGGCGGGTGGAGGGCTGGGCGTGGTGCACAGGAGGTTCTTGGCTGCTGCTTCCTCTCAGGCTCCTGGCAGGAAGCTACCTGCGCAGGGTGAGAGCTGCCCTGCAGGCTGAGGCTGGCCCACCTGCCTTGGGATGTCTGGCTCCACCCTGGGTCCTGGGTCCTGGGTCCTGGGTCCTGGGTCCTGAGCACCTTGTGGGAGGCCAGAGCAGCAAAGGCCTGTTTTAATGGCTGAGCATTGGCCTCATACAGAGGTTGTGGGCTCTTTGGAAATCTTGGCCAAGGTAAATGAGTGTTTGTCGTAAAGGAATTCCTTTTCAATTACAAAAATTAAAATGGTGTCTTCCTATAAAAAGAAATGAAAGTTTCCACGGGCATGTCGTACTGTGGTTTGCCCTTTATCTTTGATGAGAAAATAAATGACTGGATTATGTTCTTATGGGAGAGAAGTAACTAGCAGGGGTCTATCTCGGTGGCCATGTGAACCGCAGTTCCAGTAGCCATTCCAGCAGCTGCTCTCGTTAGCTTACTGCACAGCAGGCCACTCGCTGATTCCTTCCCAGGGCAGATTGGACTTGACCTGACTGTAGACTCAGGAATCAAGTGGCGCCTCCTTGTCATGTGAGGTCATTCGTTCACTGATATTAAGAACGTAAGTTGTTTCATTTTAAATGGTTTTTGAGAAGAATGCCCCAGTGGTCTTGCTATGGACAGAATGTTTGTATCCCTCAAAGTTTACATGTTGACTTACCGCCTTCCTCCCTAACTGACATGAGCCAGGACAACGAGCCATGATGTTTGTACTCATTTTAAAGACGTCCTTACCACTTCCCCAAGCCAAAACGAAAGGCTGGTCAATATCAGCATATGAATGTGCCCAATAAAAATGTAGTAGTTTGGGCAGTCCTGTGCCTTGGGAGGTTTTGCTGTGGAGATAGAGACAGAAGACCCCGTTATGGAAAAGAACAATGACAACAGCTCCATGTTTGGGCGCCACGCAATGGCCTGGTATGCGTTTCTTCCTGATTAGGGAGGCCAG